CTAGAAATTTAAAGTGACAATTTCCACTTAAAACCAAACAGCCACCACTCATCTGTCAGTTTTTTGTACTGTGGTGGCTTGTGAGCTGCTGTGACTCTGAAAGCTATGCCACCGGTATTTTAAATTCCAACAGGGTCACCCATGGTGGAAAGATTTCAGATGAGCTTCCAGACAAAGACATACTAGGAAGAAAGAGTGACGAACTACTTCCGTATATTTAGTCACTGAAAACCTTATGAATAGCAGAGAAACACTGTCAGAAATAGTGCCGGGAAAAGAGCCCCTCAGCTTGGAAGACACTCAAAATGTGATTGGGGAAGAACTGCCTCCTCAAAGTAGAGTTGACCATGATGACGTGAATGGATTAAAGCCCTTGGAAGAAAAGCATGTGGTACCTTCATTTGCTAGTGGGACACAACTCAAAATGAAGAGAAACAGCTGTAAACATCCATTGAAAATTGGAACTTGGAATGTATGAATCTAGGAAAATTGGAAGTTACCAAAAATGAAATGTAATGCGGAAAGATCCATGTCCTAGGCATTGGTGAGCTGAAATGGACTGGTATTGGCCATTTTGAATCTGGTGGCCACATGGTTTACTATGCTGGGAATGAAAATGAAGAGGAATGGTGTTACATTCATTGTAAAAAGAACATATCCAGATCAGTCATGAGGTACAATGCTGTAAGTGATAGGATAATATCCGTGCACCTACAGGAAAGTCTAGTTAATACCACTATTATTCAAGTTTATGCACCAACCACTAAAGCCAGTTGAGGGTGATATAGAAAAATTCTACCAACTTCTTCAATCTGAAATTGATCAAACATGTAATCAAGATGTATTGATCATTACTGGTGATTGGAATACAAAGGTTGGGAGCAAAGAGGAAGGATCAGTAGTTGGAAAATATGGCCTTGGTGATAGAAATGATGCTGGAGAACACATGATAGAATTCTGCAAAACCAATGATTTGTTCATTTTAAATAACTTCTTTAGACAGCATAAGAGACAATGATACACATGGACTTCACCATATGGAAGACATAGAAATCAAATTGACTACATCTGTGGAAAGAGAAGATGGAAAAGCTCCATATCGTCAGTAAAAACAAGGCCAAGGGCAGACTGTGGAACAGACCATCAATTACTCATATGCAAATTCAAACTGAAGCTGAAGAAAATGAAAACAAGTCCACGAAGCCAAAATATGACCTTGATATATCCCACTTGAATTTAGATATCATCTGAAGAACAGATTTGATAAATTAAACACTAAAGACCAAAGACCAGAAGAGTTGTGGGATGACATCAAAAACATTGTGAATGAAGAAAGCAAAAAGTCATTGAGAAGACAAGAAAAAAAGGAAACGGTCAAAATGGATGTCATAAGAGACATTTAAATTTGCTCCCTAATGTAGACATCCAAAAGCAAATGGGAGAAATTAGGAGGTCCAAGAGCTGAAGAGAAAATTTCAAAGATCAGCTTGAGAAGATAAAGCCAAATATTACAACAAAATGTGCAAAGTTCTGAAATCAGAAAACCAAAAAGAAGAACACATTCAGCATTTCTCAAGCTGGGGGAATGAATAAAAATTGAAGCCTGGTGTTTCATTATTGAAAGATTCATTGGGCAAATTATTGAATGGTGCAGAAACATCAAGAGAAGATGGAAGGAATACACAGAGTCACTATACCAAAAGGAAATGGTTAATGTTCAACCATGTCAAGAGGTAGCATATGATCAAGAGCCAATGATACTCAGGGAGGAAGTCCAAGGTGCATTGCAGGAATTGGCAAAGAGCAAGGGATCAGGAATTGATGGGATCAAAATTGAAATCTTTCAAGAAAGTGAGGCAGCACAAGAGGCACTCACTCATCTCTGCCAAGAAATTTGGAAGACAACTATCTGGCCAACTGATTGGAAGAGATCCATATTTGTGCCCATTCCAAAGAGAGGTGACCCAACAGAATGTGGAAATCATTGGACAACATCTTTGATATCCCATGCAAGTAAAGTTTTGCTAAAGGTAATACAGAAACGGCTACAATCTTACATTGATGGAGAACTTCCAGAGGTTCAAGCCGAATTCAGAAGACACAGTGGAACAAGAGATATCATTGCTGATATCCGATGGATCTTGTCTGAAAGCAGAGAACATCAGAAAGATGTTTACCTGTGCTTTATTGACTATGCAAAGGCTTTTGATTGTGTGAATCATGATAAGCTATAGACAACATTGTGAATATGAGTATTCCAGAACACTTAATTGTACTCGTGAGGAATCTGTACCTGGACCAAGAAGCAGTTGTTCAAACAGAACATGGGATCACTGAATGTTCTAAAATTAAGAAAGGTGTGCGACAAGATTGTATTCTTTCACCGTACTTATTCAACCTGCATGCTGAGCAAATAATCCAAGAAGCTGAGTTATATGAAGAAAAACATGGCATCACTATTGGAGGAAGACTCATTAACAACCTGCGATATGCAGATGATATGACCTTGCTTGCTGAAAGTGAAGAGGACTTAAAACATTAACTGATGAAGATCAAAGAGCACAGCCTTCGGTATGGATTATATCTCAATGGAAAGAAAACAAAAATCCTCACTACTGGACCAATAAACAACATTCTTATCAATGGAGAAAAGATTGACTTTGTCAAGGACTTCATTCTTCTTGGATCAACTATCAACATTCAAGGAAGCAGCAGTCAATAAATCAAACGACATATTGTATTAGGCAAATCTACTGCACAAGAATTTTTTAAAGTGTTGAAGAGCAAAGATGTCAGCTTGTGGACTAAGGTGTGCCTGACCCAAGCCATGGTATTTTCAATAACCTCATATGCATGTGAAAATTGGACAATAAATAAGGAAGACTGTAGAAAAATTGATGCTTTTGAGTTATGGTGTTAGAAGAGAATATTGAAAGTGCCAGGGACTGCCAAAAGAACCAGTACATCCATTTTGGAAGAAGCACAGCTAGAGTGCTCCTTAGAGGCCAAGATGACCAAACTTCGTCTCATACTTCGTACATACTGTCAGGAGGGACCAGTCGCTGGAGAAGGATATCATGTTTGGTAAAGTGGAGTGTCAGAGGAAAGGAGGAAGACCCCCAATGAGATGGATTAGCCATGGGACACATTGATGGACTCAAGCATGGCAACAGTGGTGGGGCTGGCCCAGGATCAGTCAGTATTTCATTCTGCTTTGCATAAGGTTGCTATGGGTCGGTACTGACTCAATGGCACCTAACAATAACAACATATTCTAGTCAATATTCAAACATGCTATAAATATCACCTCACTTGTTGTTGGATTATGTGCAGCTTTGAATTGCCAATCTTTCTATTAGCAACCTCACAATTTACCTATTGTTCCACCAGGGATCCACTAAAGGAGTGCATTTTCAAACTCATGGTCCTAATTATTTTATCTGTGTTACTTTGGGCAATTCATTAACTTTCTGAAGCTTTATTTTCTTCATCTGTAATTGCAGCTATTTATAATACCTATCTTGTTGTTGTTATGTGCGCTTGTGTTGGTTATGACTCATAGTTATCCTTTAGTTTCCAGAAGTAGTTGGTAGGTTTGAACAGTCAACCTCACTAGGTCTTTGTATAATCTTCTAAGATAGGATTAGATTCCTATTGTTACACTGTAGCAATTGACATCAGTAGTTCAAAGCTACCAGCTGCTTCAGATAAAATACTCAGGAGCATAAATTTGATCATGCATTCCTTTAGTGAGCTTCTCAAGGATCCCTAATTGAGCAGTAGGTGAATTGGTGAGCTGCTTATGGAAAGATTGGTAATTCAAAGATGATCTTAGCACAAATCATGGTTTTAAACAGTCTCATAGGCTTGTGAATGTTGTACAATGAATAAAGAAGACTGCAGAAAATTGATGCATTTGAGTAATGGACATTATTCTTGGTTAAGCAGAGGGTCCGTGAAAAAGAAGCAGACCTCCAACAAGTTGGAGTGGCACAGTGGCAGAAGCAATGGGGTCAATCATTGAAGAAATTGTGAGAATAGCACAGGATCAGGTGGTGTTTCATTCTGTTGTACATATAGGTCGGAACCAACTTGACAGCATTTAACAACTACAGGAGCTACACAGGTCTGCTATCAGTCAGAATTCACTCAGCGGCACTTAATAACAATAACAGGAACAACGATAGGGACTTCAAAGTACAGGGACCTGAGAACTAAAGAACTTGCTCCACTCCAGACTCCTTTTTCTTGGTAGTAGTAGTTTCCTCTAAGCTCTATTTTCTTGTTTAATGTCTTTCATATTGCAAAAGAGATTGACTCAAAATAAAACCTAATCCTGTACATTACATCTGAACTCATTAATATAACAGAAGTGAGGATTTACAAATCAGATCATTTCTGATTGCATCAAATCTTGCCATGGAAGGGGATGGTGATTGTATCTTATTAGATCACATCCTTGATGTGATCTTGTTGTTGTTAGTGCCATCTAGTTGGTTCTAACTCATAGCAACCATGTATAGGGTTTCCAAGGAGTAGCTAGTGAGTTTGAACAGACCTTGAGATAAGTGCAAGTTCAAACCGACCTTAAGGTCTAGTGCTTATCCTACAGTGTCACACCAGGATGTGATTACTATATCTTAACTGTTAAACCTTTGACAATCCTTGCCCAGCAAATACGACTCAAAGGTTAAACTATTCAACATATTTTAAATTGAATTGTTGCTCAATTAGATTATATGCTTCTTGAGAAACTCCTTTTTCATATTTGAAATTTATTTAATCTATTAATTATGATTTTATATTTAAAAATCATATCAAGGTTAAAAATAAGCTGTATGATCTCTAGCTACAAATAAGAAATCTGTTGCCAAGAAAAACATTTTCTCGTACTTAGATAATGTTGAAGGTGTTGTGACGTAGGCAAGAAGTCCTTTATACTTCTTTTATACAAACCTGCCTATTTCTTATATGTTGCATTTTTCACAGTAAATTTTTTCATGATGACATGGAAGAATCAGACCTTCAAGTCTGGCTTTATCTTGCTGGGAATCTTCGATCAAAGCCCTACTCATGCCTTTCTCTTCTCTCTGGTGCTGGGCATCTTCACAGTGGCCTTCATGGGAAATACTGCTATGGTTGTTCTTATCTACCTGGACTCACAGCTCCATACCCCCATGTACTTCCTCCTCAGCCAACTCTCTCTCATGGACCTCATGCTTATCTGCACCACAGTACCCAAGATGGCCCTAAACTACTTGTCTGGAAAAAAATCCATCTCTGTGGCAGGTTGTGGAACCCAGATATTTTTCTATGTTTCCCTGCTGGGATCTGAATGTTTCCTGCTGGCTGTCATGGCCTATGACCGCTATGTCGCTATATGCCACCCATTAAGGTACCCTATTCTCATGAGACCAAAAATTTGTCGTCTCATGGCTGCTTCGTCCTGGCTTCTAGGTTCATTTGACGGTATAATTGAAGTTGCAGTTGCATTATCCTTCTCATATTGTGGTGCCCGGGAAATACCCCATTTCTTTTGTGATGTCCCTGCTCTTCTCACTCTTTCATGCACAAACACCTCAACATTTGAAAGGATGATATTTATCTGCTGCATAATTATGCTTCTCTTCCCTGTAGCAGTTATTGGTGCTTCCTATACTCGTGTCATTCTGGCTGTAATTAGCATGGGATCTGGGGAAGGTCGTCGCAAAGCTTTCACTACATGTTCCTCCCACCTCATGGTGGTGGGCATGTACTATGGAGCAGCCATGTTCATATACATGCGACCCACTTCTGATCGTTCACCAACTCAAGACAAGATGGTGTCAGCCTTCTATACCATCCTCACTCCTATGTTGAATCCCCTAATATATAGTCTCCGCAACAAAGAAGTATCCCGAGCATTCATGAAGGTATTAGGGAAGGGCAAGTCTAGAGAGTAAGTTGCCTTATTATTTCCTCTATGTTCTCGATTTATTCCTAACTGTGTGTAAGTAAATATTACAATTTAGCCACCAATATTTATCCATATATGTACTAAAAGTTTTACAGTAACCACAAGATTTAAATGTTGACAACTGTTTACATACTTTTTTCTTTCTGTGTTTCAGAGTTTTTAATGGCACTTTCACATTATAGATACAAGTAAATCTTTGTTATAGGAGAAAATGCACAACTGTGTACTTTGTTTTGTATACCAGTTAAGAAATGATAGACATTTACCCATGATAATATCACATAATTGAATTAATTATATCTACTTTACCATTTACTAAGGAGTCCTGGTGTTGTGCTCTAGGATAAGCACTGGTCTCCTAATCATAAGTTGGCAATTATAAGTCAGAACCATCTTGAATGCAGTTAACAACAGCAACAACATCATTTACTAAAAAGTTGCTATTCCTTGGACAAATAGTCAACAGTAACAATTTTGTTTTTTTGTACATGGTTAATTTATCCATAGCTAAAATAGAATTCTGACAGAACCCTGGTAACACAAGATTTAAGAGACAAAGTGACAACTGAAAAAGATGAGTGGTTCAAACTCACCCAGCTATTATTGTGGAGAAAGAATTGGCCATCTTCTCTCATAAAGATTGTAACATACAAATATCTATAAGCCAGTTCTGTTCTGCCACATGAGGTATCTGTGAGTTGAAATTAACTATAGTTTTAAGCCTGGACTTTACCTCAAAGTAAAGAAATCCAAAATCCTTACAACTCAACCAAGAAATAACATCAGGATAAATGGAGTGAATATTGAAGTTGCCAAAGATTTCCATTAGTTTGGGTCCTCAATCAACACTCATGGAAGTTGTGCCTGGCCCAAGGCATGTTATTTTCAATCCATAATCTGCATGTGAAAGTTGGTCAATTAATGAGGAAGACTGTAGAAGAAGATATACATCTTAATTATGATGTTGGTGAAGAATATTGAAAATAACATGGACTGCCAGAAAACAAATAGCTATCTTGGAAGAAGTACAACCAGAATGCTCCTTAGAAATGCTGATGGTAAGATTTTGTCTCTTGTATTTTGGACATGTTATTAGGAAGAACCAGTGCCTGGAGAATGACATCATGTTTTCTGGCTTATTTAGTATGACTGATATAAGAGAAATATCACAAATGGATGACTTTGATAAATAGAAATTTTATTTATCAAAGTTTAGAAAGCTAGAAGTCCAGATTCAGAGTGCCTGGTCTATGGGAAGGTTTTCTTATTGTTGGCTCCCTTAAGCATGTATAGGCCTGACATTCCTTGAAGATCTCCATGTGTCCTGGCATCAGTCTTTCCCTCTATCTAGGAACCTCACAGGGCAGTGATCATAGTTCCAAAAGATGCACTCCACTCCCTGCTCTTCTTCCTTTGTGAGAGATTGTCCCCCTTCTCTGCTCACTTCTCTCTCCTTTTAATAGCTTTTAATATAAAAGATGTTGCATGATATATCCTAGGGAATCTCCCTTACATTGGATCAGGACCATGATGGGATTAAGGGCTATGCATTTTACAGAGCTATATTACATATGTGGTGTATTATACAAAAGTGTATATATAATAAAGAGCCCTGGTATGGTTCTGTAAGAAAAGCATTGACTGCAAGTTTTTCAGTTCAAACACACTAGCTATTCTCAGAAACCCTATACTGTGTCACTGTTAGTTGAAACTGATGCAAGGGCAAACAGAAATAACACCATCATCACACTCTTAATCCTAATATTATTTTATCATATTAAACGCCATCATATGATATCATCACAAAACTACACAACTAAGAATCATGACCTAGCCAAGGTGACACAAGTAAGTATTTCGGGGGAACACAATTCAATCCATAACACTTATATAGTGGAGAGCCAGCTAAAAACAAGATGATACCTAACACCATGGATTGATGGGGTAAAAGTAACAATGGGTTCAAACAACAGCTGTGAGGATGGCACAGTGTTTTGTTCTGTTCTGTATAGGTCCTGTGAATAAGAACAGTGCCAAAAGAACCAAACATAACAACAGCAAAAACAAACATAATTCTATTAAATTCAATATCATAATTTGAACTCATGCCTTTGTTATAATAAACAACAAAGCTAATGCTATATAAAATTATAGATATGCATAAAATACCTACAATAAAAAATGTAATTTAGCCAGATAGAGAAAAGTGAGATGTTAGATTGAGGTGTCGGTCTATAGAGCATACCTTGTATGAGCCTTTTAATTTGTAAGGATGTTGTAAGATTGAAGAGCTTCCAGTTATGCTCTTGCTTCATTATTCACATATATGGAATATTCAAACATGAATCTTAATCCTGTAAGTATGAACATCATCTTTATATTTCCTACTCGTTAAATGAATCATGTATTGAAATAGTCCACCACTTGTCTGTTTGTCTTATTATGGTGACTTGCAGGTTTCTGCGATGCTGAAAGCTATGCCACCAATATTTTAAATGCCAGCAGGGTATACCCATAGTGGGTATATTTCAGATGAGCTTCCAGACTAAAACAGACTACAAAGAAAGCGAGGCAGACTACTTCTGAATATTTAGCTACTGAAAGTTTTATGAAGAGCAATGGAACACTGCCAGATAACACTAGAATAGGGAATATTGAAACATAATGAATCACACCAAAATAATGCCAGATATAATACCATATGATGATCCCCTCAGGTTTGAAGGCACTCAAAACATGGCTGGGAAGACTGTCTCCTCAGAGTAGAGTTGATCATAATGATATTTGGATTAAAACTTTCCAGAACCTTCATTTTCTCATACAGCACAACTCAAAATGAAGAGAAACAACTGTAAACATCCTTTAATAATCATAACATGCATTATATGAAGTATGAATGTAGGAAAATTAGAAATTGTCAAAAAGGAAATGGAACACATAAAAACCAATATATTAATCATTAGTAAAGGAGCTCTGGTAGCGTAGTGGTTATGAATCGGGCTGCGAACCTTAAGGTCAGCGGTTTGAAACTACCAGCCGCTCCGCGGGAGAAAGATGAG